TCCTGCCAACCTAGCAGTTCGAAAGCACGTCAAAGTGCAAGTAGATAAATAGGTACCGCTCCGGCGGGAAGGTAAACGGCATTTCCGTGCGCTGCTCTGGTTCGCCAGAAGCGGCTTAGTCATGCTGGCCACATGACCCGGAAACTGTACGCTGGCTGCCTCGGCGAATAAAGCAAGATGAGCGCCGCAACCCCAGAGTCGGCCACGACTGGACCTAATGGTCAGGGGTCCCTTTTCCTTTACCTTTAAGGATTGAAGTAGTTGAGCTTTTTTTACCATTTTACCCCAAAGTTGTTGGGCTTTTTTAGGATTGAAGTTGTTGGGCTTTTTTTTGAGATTTTACCTCAGGAAATAAACGGCCATAGGGGCCGGATTAAACCAACCGGCGGGCCGTATTCTGCCCCCAAAACAGACTTTGGACATTCCTCCTCCAATCACACGATGAAGAGCTGTAATGCTGGCTTCTTCTTGGCATAAACCCCTTGTGCTTGTTTGGGGAGAGCAAACAATGAGGCTCGGTTTGGGCAGGACGCTAAGCCAAGCTTCTCTCCCAGCAGCTCACCAGGAGTAGAGCAGACGCTGTTTTAGCTCCAGGGACCAATAGGCTGAGCATTCATTCACTTTTAAACCGTAGTTAAGCTTCACGGCGGTTTGCAGCCCAGTCAGCAACCTCATTGCAGCAGCAGCGTCTGAACTTTTGAAACAATCAGAAATATTTTTTGATCTGTGTGTTTGGGTGGGGACACAACAGCAAGAGCATGAAGAGCAAAGAGCTGCGTCCTCTCCCAGGGCTGGCTCTGGGTTTTTAAAAAAACATTCACAGTCCCCTGTTGTTATTATTTTGCAAATATTTTTATTGAGTTTTACATTTTTATCATCCAAATATCATAATATACAACAAAAAATACGAATCCCAAATTCCCCCCTTCCCCCAACTTTCTTTTCTGTTTTTTTGCAAACTTCCTTTTCCTGCTTATTTTAACATTTCTTCATTTTAATGTCTTTAAGATCATTATTGTTATTCCCCCTCCATTTTAATATATTCATCATATTTCCTGTATTTATTTTGTTGATTGTGTTTAATCAAACCCTGCTAGTGAGTCCATTTCTTTACATTTTTTCTGTAAGTACAGTGGTACCTCAGGTTACATACGCTTCAGGTTACAGACTGCGCTAACCCAGAAATAGTGCTTCAGGTTAAGAACTTTGCTTCAGGATGAGAACAGAAATTGTGCTCCGGCGGCGCGGCAGCAGCAGCAGGAGGCCCTATTAGCTAACGTGGTGCTTCAGGTTAAGAACAGTTTCAGGTTAAGTACAGACCTCCGGAACGCATTAAGTACTTAACCTGAGGTACCACTGTATATCATAAATGGTTCCCAATCTTTTTTCAAATCTCTATTGTCTTTGTCTCTTAAGTCTTTCAGTTGGCTTCACCATTTCAGCATATTCCATCCGTTTTCCTTGCCATTCTTCTTCATCACTTTTCCATCCTTGGGCCAGCAAAATCCTAGCCACAGTTGTAGCGCCCATGAAGAGTTGTTTCTTCTTCTCTTTTGGCAGATCTTGACCTGAACACAGTGGTAGAATTCTTGCCTGCCACAGTCCCCTATTAACGTTTCCCCAAACTTTCACTTGCAAACTGAGAGTCTGAACCTGCTTGAAGAAAAATGAAACGAGCATCTGCCCAAACGTGCATTTGTCCCTTTTTGTTGTACCTTCAGATCAGTTAGCGAGGAGCAATAAATACACACAACAGGATTTCCATTTTCAGGAGAAATCTTGTGTCTTCAGAAGAGGACTGGGAAGCAAAGACCTCTAAGTGCAAAAAAATAAATCACAGGGTTTGTAATTACAAGCCTGCTGCACTGTCTTTCTGCAAACAGGTGCAGATTCTGCAAATCCCCTCCTCTTCAGCAAAGCACTAAAATATATTCTGGCAGTACATTGGACTCAAATTGGGCAAGTGTCTGCATGCATGTGAGAAAGGAGTCCCGTGCTGCAACCCAGGGAGCTTTTCGTCTTCTCTTGGCTGGTGTCCTTTTTGTAACACTGTTTTTATTCATTATTATCTTTAAACTGCTGCATTGAGATATCTGTTTGTTTACATATGACCGGCGACAATTACGTAAAATTAAAAATAAGTCAACAATAAAAACACTCAGGTAAACGTTTCTGAATGCATTAACAAAATTGTGCCAAAGTGTATGTGCCAAAAATTATGACACTTATTCCAGATATGAAATGATGTATAGTGACATGTTTTGCTTAGATTAGGGACCAAAAGTAAAAGGTATTTTGTATCCATAGCAATTAGAATTTTTAGGAATTTTTGAGGAAGGAAGGAGGGAGGGAAGGTTAAAAAATTATGATATGTACTTCATTCACGCCAGACGGCTGTAAACTATGGCTACTGTTCTACCATATTATTCATATAATCAATAGGGCCTTGTTTCTTTTGGCCTCTTTGAATTTCGTGTCATTTCCGCCCCAATAATGCTGTTTGCCAGATTGCATTATACCATAGGTAGGCAAACCAAGGCCCAGGGGCCGGATCCGGCCCAATCGACTTCTCAGACCGGCCTGCGGACGGTCTGGGAATCAGCGTGTTTTTACATGAGTAGAATGTGCCCTTTTATTTAAAATGAATCTCTGGGTTCTTTGTGGGGCATAGGAATTCGTTCATCCCCCACCACCCCCCCAAAAAAATAGTCCGGCCCCCCACAAGGTCTGAGGGACAGTGGACCGGCCCCCAGCTCAAAAAGTTTGCTGACCCCTGCATTGTACCATTGGTCCACAGTTAATAATTGGAATGATTTCCATGTCCTGGCAATAGTTGTCCTTGCAGCGGTTAATAGGTATGTTAGGAGTTATCTGTTTCCAATTTTCAACATATCATGACTATGTTGTCAGGAGCCGTCCTACTCTTGAGTAGGTAAGCAGGGTCCGTTCCGGGGACTGCCTGCTCCTAGGAGCCTTTTCTGAGATGACGAGAAACGCTTCTGTTCTCCTTTGGTCTCGCACCTTGAAAATCAAAAACCAGGCTGTAGACTTCATTATATCTTTTATTGTAAGACTGCAGAGTTCTAAGTCAATTTATAGAACCATCGGTTTTGAGATGCTTTGTGTTCTTAATCTTTTACACAGAACTTTATCCAACTGGACTTACGAGTTTGACAAATGGGCTCCTTCTGTCGTGAAAATCTCCTACAAGGTTTGGATGTCCTTTATATGCAAATATAAAGTGGGCAGTATAAACACATAACACCCCCCCAATCTATTTAGTTGTGTGGTTTTCCCGTGCACTGAAAACAGCTCACTGTATTCTACCGTGCATTAGACACCCCCTATTTGGGGGGACTAAATTTAAAGAAAATGAGGGGAAATGGCCCAAAGTTGTTGAGCTTTCTAAAGGCGGGAAACGCTCCCTAGAGCACGGACCGGCAACCAACTTCCCCCTACCTCCCCCTATGCTGCTGCGGGAAACACTCCCTAGAGTGCGCATCTCCCACAGCAGCATGGGGGGGAAGAGTTGCGCGCCCCCCCCAACCAGCTGGCTTGCGGTGCACAGCTCCCCCCCCCCCCCAGCCACTATCCGTGTATAGGACGACCCCAGTTTTTTCCCGTGAATTTTGAGACAAAAAAACCAACAACCCTTGTTTAATACACAGGAAAATACGGTAATCCGTACACTTGATCCAGGCTTGTTCCCATCAGCTGCCGGCCCCCTTGGGCACGCGATGGCGCAGGGCATGCGCAGGGAGCCGAACTGCTTCCTGGGATCCCAGAAGGCGTTTCTCATTGGCTGCTGAAGCGCCGTGGTGATCCCAGCAGGCGGCGGCGGAGGGGCTCAGCCTTGACCCAAACCAAACAGGAGACTTCACCTCTCCGGGTCACGCATGCCCGGCAGAGGCCTCCCCTCCCCAGTCTGGAGCCCATTGTGTTTCTGCAAAGTCCCTCCCCATATACTCCTGCTATGGATACATTCAGTTCAGTGCCAGATTTACGTATGAACTAAACAAGCTATAGCTTGGGGCCCCACTCTCTTGGGGGCCCCCCAAAAATGTAGAGGGGGAAAACTCTGGATACTTCTTCTTAATTGTATTTCAGTTTAACAATCACTTTGATAAAATACATATTTTGTTATGTGCAAATGGCTTGAGATACCTATGAGGTCCAGAAATGACCATATAGCATATATTCAACACAAAAAAACAGTGACCATTTGTTGTTGACCAAGGACAGCTGGACATAGAAAGGGCCCCATTACCTTCAGGAGCTGAGGGCCTCATCAAACCTCAATCCGGCCCTGGTTCAGTTGCTGGTTAAAAGGGTCCCGAAATTATTTTGGGCTCTGCATAGTGGGCCTCCTTGTGTTGAGGTTTTGCCTTCCTCGTGGCATCAAGTCTTGGCTCAGTTCTTGTTGTCATCATAACTTTGGGCAAAGGTCAGCATCAAGAACCATCTGTAGAGTTTTGGGTGGGGCTGCCCCAAAGGCCGTGGCCCCAGCTTGGGGGGTGGTGGTGCTGAGTCTGACCATCATCCCCCCTGGGGCTGGGCCTTCTCGGGGGGGGGGCTACCCTGGGGTGGATCTCTGGTGCTTTGTGACGCCCTTGCGACTCACCTGGCTGCAGGATGGCGGCAGGTGAATAAGCCTGCCTTGACCCGTGATCCTTGCCCCGTGTCGCGCCATCTCCGCTCATGGCCGTGACCAAGAGACGATGAAGTTGTTCCCAATCTATCTCTGGTATGCTATTGGCTCCTGGACACTCCCCTCATACTCATTCAGTGCAATTTATAACAAGTCACAGTTACTTTTGGATATTGAAATGCAGCAGGAAATCGTTAATGATCGTAAGCGTTTTGGCTGGAGCAAGACAGAGGATAAATTCTGTATGGTTGTACGTTCTGAAATATTTGTTGTAAATCATAGAATTGTAGAGTTGAGGGGACCCTGAGGATCATCTCGCCCAGCCCCAGCCGCCAACGCAGGAATACGCAGCTGCCTCATACGGGGGTCGAATCTGCAGCCTTGACCTTGTCAGCACCACGCTCTAACCAACTGAGCTATCCAGGAGTATAATACAGTAGAACCTCAGCTTACGTTACCCTCAAGTAACATAAACTTCGGGTTCCGAAAGCAGCAAACCCGGAAGTATTTTCCCGGGTTTTGCCGCATGCGCAGAAGCGCTCTATCGTGCCATGTGCATGCGCAGAACAGGCACCTCTGGCTGCGGAAACATCGGGATCCGATCGGAGCTCCGGAACAGAAGCCGTCCGCAACCAGAGGTTACCACTGTATGTGAGCGTTCATGTCATGGCTTTTATTGGAGATTTCAGGTGGTTTACCAATACTGAATTAGTTCACTGATGGACTAATTCAGCCCCTGATATTCTTAGGAAGGCGCTTGTAAACAATACGGACCTTCAGCCAAACTTGCAACAGCAATAAGACCTATTATCTGAGTGGAGTTTTCTGTCCGGGAGCCATTGTCAGTGGCAAAGTAATTACAATTTACTTTTTCTCCAGTTTGTTCTGGAGAATTTGCTCATTGCAACAGGACGCTTGCAATTTGTTTTGCATTTCTGTACCCTCGTTTCAGGGGAAGCTTTTCTTTTCTCTTTCCAGGGCACACCTGCGATGCGCCGATCCCTCGTCCCTCAACTCCGTAGCGGGAAATTTAATGTTCTTTTGACGACTTACGAGTACATAATAAAGGACAAGCACATTCTTGCTAAGGTAAGGCTGCGTTTCTGGCTCCTCTTGGGGACGTGGTCTCTTGCCCTCGCCCCAAACAGCCAGGATTGCACCCGGCTGCAATCTCTTTAGACTCCTGGCTCTGCACCCGCCATCGCTGTTGTCTTTAAAAGGCAGTTCTGCGTTTCTCTGCCTGAATGGAGGCGTTGGGCTTTTCTTCCAGCCCCTTCACCGTCTCCTCTCCTGCTGCGCCACTTTCAGGGCTGGGGACGAGAGAATGGCTTTGCTGCCTGTGGATCTCGTCAATGCCTCCCCGCCATCGCCCCTCGCAGGAGCATCACCATCCTCCCAGCGACATTTATTGTGGGGTCCTGCTATTCCATTTTGATCCACTGCTCTTCTCTCGCTCTTTGTTTTCCGAGCAGAGACAAATACGGCCAGCAAAAGGACTCCGGCTGTGTAGCCGCTTTCTGGATGTGGGGAGATAATAAGGGGCTAGAATGAAACCTGCTATCTTCATTTTCATTTGTGCATTTAGACCCGATAGCTCAAAATCACCGCTTTTGATCTGAGTGTCTCCTGAATAGTTAATAGACTCTGAAAAGTGGGAGCTAATCTTTGGGAACCATGGTTTCTGTGGAAGTGGAGGCATTTAAGTAACGGAGCTCCAATTGTCATACATCAGAGCCTGTGAATTTCTTAATGAGCTTTCATGTGCTTGCCATAGGCACCTTTTCAACGGTAGTTTTCTGACCATCTCCCCCCTGGCCTAATATTCAACTGAGAACACGCATTCCTGGGCACAAGCACCTTCTTATAGGCTTTTTGAGGATAGCTTATTTAATCTTTGCAAAGATTTCCATCCTTTTCATTTTTTTAAAAGCGTACCTTAAACTTCTTTTCTGTGGTTTGAATCCAGCTTTCGCCCAATTCCTCCCTCTCCTTTCAAATCCCCCCATGGCTCTTTGAAGCATCTCCTGATGGGGACATAATTTTGGTTGCAAAGTGGCCCTCCTAAAACCAGAATTTGGAGCGCTTGGTTTCATTATTGCCTCGGAGAAGCTCCCGACAGGCTCTGCACCAAGCGCACAGCCCCAGATTCACGGCTGGCCAGTTAGAATTTCTTTTTGGGCCACAGAACCAGCATGCGTTTGTCATTGCCTGTGGGGTGACAAGCCCATTCTCTTTATCAGCTTGGCTGTCAGGCTCATATGGTGGCAGGTGACTTGGCGCAGCTGCAGTTGGGCAGATCGGTGTCTCATCTGACTTGGAAACTCTCTCTGACTATAGCGAGAGGTTTTCCTAGAATGGCAGTGTTGGAAGAGGGACCCCAAGGGTCATCTAGTCCAACCCCTTGCAATGCAGGAATCTCAGCTCAATAGAAAACAGCACTCCCATCCTTAGACGGCAACCCTGCACCCTCTTGCTTCAGAGCAATCCCCGTTAAATTCTCTGGGGCTTTCTTCCGAATGGACGAGTGTAGGAGACAACTGTTCTTAGTTAAGAGGAGAAAGTTTTGTCTCCCAAATTAGATTAAAAAGAATTGGACAGGATAAATATTTACCCCCCTACAAAATGTGAGAGGTATCAGGACATAATAGAATTGGGGGGGGGGGGACATTTTCTCAGTTCAAAGAAGAAAAGGCAGATACGGTATGCGTGCAGGAGGCACGCTAAAGAGGGCAGAATAATTTACTTAAAACTTGAATACAGTCACACCTTGGATCTCGGGACACTTTGGCTCCTGAACGATTGAAACCCGGAAGTGACTGTTCTGGTTTCCGAAGGTTTTTTGGGAAGCCAAACGTCCGACGGGGCTTCTGATTGGCTGCAGGACCTTCCTGCAGCCAATTGGAAGCCACGCTTTGGTTTCTGAACCTTTTGGAAGTCGAACGGACTTCCGGAATGGATTCTGTTCGACATCCAATCTATAACTGTACAGTGGTACCTCGGGTTACAAACGCTTCAGGTTACAGACTCTGCTAACCCAGAAATAGTACCTCTGGTTAAGAACTTTGCTTCAGGATGAGAACAGAAATCGGGCTCCGGTGGCGCAGCGGCAGCAGGAGGCCCCATTAGCTAAAGTGGTGCTTCAGGTTAAGAACAGACCTCCGGAAGGAATTAAGTACTTAACCCAAGGTACCACTGTACTTTGAATAGAGCAGGGGGGACAGGGCTGTCTTAAGCATATGTGGCGCCAGGATGCAAAGATCCACCTGGCACCCCCCCCCAGGTTGCCTAGTCCCAGGCGTGCAGGAGGGCAGAGCCAGCCGGCCACCTCAGCGTCTCGCTGGCTCAGTCTCCCCCGAACTTGCAGCGCAGAGCTGCCCGCTGCGGCACTCCGACCAATGGGCTTCCCCGGACTCTGGGCCTGGCGCCCCTGAGAGCCAGGTGCCCCGCGCCCCTAGCGCCTATGGGTAAGATGGCCCTGAGGGGGGAGCAAGTTTGGCCCACAGGCCCCACAAAGCCCCTCCACTGCCAGGCCATTTTGGGGGAGCCACGCCGACCCTGCACCTGACATGGTTGCATTTTGGGTGTTCTGGTCCTGCTGAATCTTTTGGTTTTTTATTTTTAAGCTGAAGGCCCGCAACTGTTTTAGGATTTGCACGCGTAGAACTAGGGGAAGAAAGTTTTGTCGTCTTGTCTTTTCGTAGATTCGGTGGAAGTATATGATTGTCGACGAAGGCCATCGCATGAAGAACCACCACTGCAAGCTCACTCAGGTGCTGAACACGCACTACGTTGCCCCCAGAAGAATCCTCCTGACGGGGACGCCCTTACAGAACAAACTGCCGGAGCTTTGGGCTCTGCTGAATTTCCTCCTCCCCACCATTTTCAAGAGTTGCAGCACCTTTGAGCAGTGGTTCAACGCCCCTTTTGCCATGACCGGAGAAAGGGTATGATGATGATGATGATAATTATAATTACAATAATAATTTATTTTTATTCCCTGCCCACCTGGCTGGGTTTCCCCAGCCACCCTGGGCGGCTCCCAACAGGGTATTAAAAACACGATAAAAGATCAAACATTAAAAACTTCCCTAAACGGGGCTGCTTATGGGATGTTGCTCGCTTGTTTGTGTCACGCTGTGGGATGCGGGTGGCGCTGTGGTCTAAACCACAGAGCCTAGGACTTGCTGATCAGAAGGTTGGTGGTTCATATCTCCCGTTGTTCGGTCCCTGCTCCTGCCAACCTAGCAGTTTGAAAGCACGTCAACGTCCAAGTAGATAAATAGGTACCGCTCCGGCGGGAAGGTAAACGGCATTTTCTGTGCGCTGCTCTGGTTCGCCAGAAGCGGCTTAGTCATGCTGGCCGCATGACCCGGAAGCTGTACACCGGCTCCCTCGGCCAGTAAAGCGAGATGAGCACCGCAACCCCAGAGTCGGCCACGACTGGACCTAATGGTCAGGGGTGCCTTTACCTTTACCTTATACTTTTCAAGCATACTTTCCATGTTAGCATAATGATTCTAGCCTCTTTAAATTACGTTTTTTTTAAAAAAAACCCTCCAAATAAATTCTTCGGATTCTCAGTTTGCTAAACCATAAAGATACGTGCTACAGATCAAACAGTGCAATTTTGGTTCTTTTTTTAAAAAAAACACACCATACATGTTATTTTTTCATTGTGCTCTTTCCTGCAGGTGGATTTAAATGAGGAAGAGACTATTCTGATCATCCGGCGCCTCCACAAAGTTCTCCGCCCTTTCTTGTTACGGAGGCTGAAGAAAGAGGTCGAATCTCAGCTGCCAGAAAAGGTTTGTGGAAGAAGGAAGACCTTCTGAAGTTTTCTAATGTTCTGTATTAAATCCAAAATTCACAATGCCACAAAATGAGCAGCAAAAACATACCGTATTTTTCGCTCTATAGGATGCACCGGACCATAGGATGCACCTTGTTTTAGCGGGGGATAACAAGAAAAAAAAAAATTCTCCCCCTCTCTGCTCAGCGCCCCTTCAGCAAAGTGGCAGGAGAAACGGAGCCCCTTCCATTTCTCCTCCCGCTTGGCTGAAGGGGCACTGCGCAGCTCTCCCTCTCTGCTGAAGCCAGGAGAGTCTTGCTCTCCAGGCTTCAGCGAAAGGAACCCGAAGCCTGCGGAGCGCGGAGGGAGCTCTCCCTCTGTGCTTCGGAGGCTTCGCGTTGCTATCGCTGAAGCCAGGAAGCCTGCATTCGCTCCATAGGATGCACACACATTTCCTCTTAATTTTTGGAGGGGAAAATGCATCTTATAGAGCGAAAAATACAGTATCTCTGAAGACAAAGACTAATTGAGCTTGTTTGACTCTGAATCTTGCCTTGTTTCCCCCTTCTGTGTTGTGAGCACAGAGAATATCGGGGCAGAAAAATGAGACTTTAGACACAATAAGTTCTGCATCGCC